CAACCAATACAGAGCTGCACCTAAACATATAATAATCAAGATTAAAGCAGAATATTCAAAGCTGTCGAAGAGACAGATTACCTATAAAGGAAAACCCATCAGAATCATGACAGACTTCTTGATACAAACCATAAAATCAAGAAGAGTTTGGAATGAAGTATTCCTGAAAGAAAGTAACCTGCAGCCCAGAATGATGTACCCTGAAAAAACTGTCTGTAAAAAATTAATGGAGAAACAAGTTGCTTACAAGACAAAGAGGAACTGGGGGAATTTACGACCACCAATTCAACCCTACAGACAATACTGAAGGACATTCTAGAGAGAGAAAAAACGTACCACGATTTCAGGAACATTGGTGGATAGGCTGCAAAGAATGGGGCAGAAATTGGAATGAAAGAGAAAAGCAGATAACTAATGGCAGAAAAATAGCATATCGGAAATGTGGCAGAGAAGGTTGGCTATAGAGTCTAATACGGATGCCCTTGATACACTAAAAAAATACAGACAGACACAGGCAGAGTAGATCAGGAGGTAGGGTCCACTGAGATGCTCTTTATAGGTAATACAATTAACCTGAAAAAGGGTCTATGGACTGAAAATCAAATATGAGAATACAATGTTCTATATGACAGGGAACCAGCGAGTAATGGGTGCAACTCAACTAGCGCCTGCAGATAGCTTGGAAAGACAGACGTTTGTAGGTAAAGGAATACAACTTGAGACCAAGTCCAGGAGTGAGAAGATTTGGTACCAGTTAGATAAATAGCAGGTTTCCCCTCAATTTAAAAAAACTGAGGGAGTTGTTGGGACCCAAAATGCACAGTACATACTATGGAAGTGAAAAGAGAGGAATAGGTAAAAAAAGAAGTCAGAGGATATTAATACTGTATCAGGATTTAAAACCCATGTTACTCTCACCACTCTGTTTAGATAGATTATATTCTGTTCCAGTTGGTCTGCTTATACTAGATTTGAGAGCACAAACAGCTATCCCCAAAGTATCAGGATATAGTATGGTAATCATCCTTAATTTCCTCTTATCTTAATTTAATGCCCTGTGTAACTTATTCTGTTTTAACATGACTGATCTTATTTGAATCTGGTTTGTTATACTGCTGTTTGGTATCAACAGATTTTATTCAAATCTGATATGATTGATAATATCAAGTCTGAGAGTATAGGCAATGACACTGAAGAACACAAGTTTCACTAGGATACCCATTCTGATTAGGTTATTCCATGCTTTTGAAGTTTTATACTACTTAAAATGTTTTTAATTAACATATTTATGTACTGCTATACCAATTATACTATGCTTGATGATATAGACAATTCTATTGAAGATAACGAGACAAAATAATAACAATTGCAGAACAGCTTGTACTGTGATTTTATCTGACTTTTTTGTTTCATGTTTATAGGAGTATGTCTTGTTTTGTCTTGCTTTGTTTTGTTTCTCCCTCTAATACAGAAAAAATAGAAATACATGCAGAGATTCATGTATGCATAGAACCTATAAACAGTTTATGAGAGCTGATCATATAATGCATGATGAAATGAACAATTACTTTGACAAAAAACAAAGTAAGGTACCCAATGCTGATCCAATAGCGTCATGAAGTGAAATTCATCAATACTATTATTCTTTGTTCAGAATGATTTTAGCCTGCTTTGTTTTGCTTAATCTTAACATACATGAAGGTATGAACAGCTATTTTCAGGAAAATGAGAGACACAATGACATCCATTGTTGACTTTCCTGTTGGCTGATCTTGGAGACCTAAAACACCTTCCTCATCTTGTTCAGATCACTTCTATACTGTGTTGTTTCATGTGAATTCTCTGTATATGAAGATACGGTCAACTAGTTGTAAGAAAAGGGACAATATGATAGATATTGAAGATTTCTGATTGTCTTGCTTTGAAATTTATGCCTCTTACTTTCTTATGTTCTGTTCTGTTGTATTCAATTTCACCCTCTTTAAAATAAAACTAAAAAGATAAATAAACAGTAATTTACCTCAATAGCTATATTGCAGCCTGTGTTTCTCCAGAATATAGCATAGGGGAGAGATTTGACTACTTCTGTTTCCCAGCCCACATGCTGGAATGGTCTAGCATTGCACTCTCCCTCCAGGTGCCAGTGCTTGGCACCAATTTGCAGGGAGGGCTTGCTTCTTGGTGACTTGTTCTCTTATCTGCAGTCCATCAATGATGCTGACTTATGGGAAAAGGCTGGAGTCTGGCCCATCCCCCAGTGGCCTGCACATAGTGCCAATTCGCAGGGAGGGCTTGCTTCATTGTGACTTCTTGCTCTCATTTCCTGCAGGCCCTCAAATATTAGTTGTTATTTTATTAAGTCAATAACTGATGGGGACCAGTGTTACATATCAACATATGTACACAAAATGCAATTTTCAAATAAGAATTTTTTCTATGTTTGGAGCTTTTGTATTCTCTTCCAGATCTTCATCAATTACATAAGAAGTTATGAATTATATTCATCCTACCATAATAGACAACAGCAGAGCTTATTCTTTTTACCTAGCTCTGTTTTCATGCCTGGTCTACTTTCTTTCCTCATTAATTGGATTGATTACACCCAACCTGAAATTTAAAGGAGAGGTTTCATTTGGCTTCCTTTGTCAGTCTATACTTGGGTGGATTCAGGAAGAAAGTTGCTTAGATCATGACATCCAGGAAGAAGAGAGAGACTGGGGAAACTAGGGAGGAAATATACTCATCCAGGGTAAGCCCCATGTGATCTACTTCTTTTTACCTGGCCCTATAACCTAACAGCAAAGAGGTATAGCTCCTGCACAATTCAGTCACCTTCCAGAAACCATGGCTATCAGCCCATGATGGGGAGCATTCTAATTTTAAATCAGAGCACTTCGATTCCATCCTTTAAAAACACATTATCATGTCTTTGAAAAGGGTGATTTGATTTAAAAAATAAAGTATAGAGAATTATAAGCTATAAGATTGACAAAACTATTACTGGTGATAGGCAGGAGTATAGTCAGTCCTCTTAAGTAATGTTGAGATTGACCCAGAGTAACATGAGAAAACGTTTTGAGGTGATTTAGATATGCATTCTGACTGGAATGCATTTGGTAACATTACTTTACCAAATGTTTTGAGCTGTAGAGTTAGAAGGAACCCCATTCCTTGGGCCTACAGATATATCTTCATGAATGTGACAATTAAAGAAAAATAAGATGGGTTGTTTGCAACTACTCACCCTGGTGAATCCTGGCCTCACACAGATTATATGTTAGAATGGATTAGAAAATTATTAGTGGATATGATTTAAGCAATAAAAGAAGGAAAACTACAAATAGTTCTGACAATATTAAGGGTCAGTGAATATGTGCAGAAATTGAAACACATATTTAAAAACAGAATGTACAATGGTATAGTTCTTCTAGAAGAGTATGGCAGATTCTATTAATGTTGAGTCTACTCTTACAATATAAAGAAGCATCTTTCACATGCGGAGATCCATTACCCAAGAACTAGGAATTAAGTAAGAAATCATAGGGCTAGGGGTTTAGCTTAGTTGCACAAGCACATGCCTGGCAAGCACAAGCATGAGGTGCTGACTTTGATTTCCAGAACAAAGAAAAAAAAAAGAGAGAGAGAAAGAGAGAGAGAGAGAGAGAGAGAGAGAGAGAGAGAGAGAGAAAGCGAGACAGAGAGAGACCAACATAGAGGCAAAAAAAAAAAAAAAGGTTTACTTTAGTTCACAGTTTGCACAGGTTTTTTGGCTCCAAGGCAGACCAGATAGCAGTTGGGACACGGTAGAGAAGAAAAGCCTGTGACAGGGAGGCAGAGAGAAATAGGTGGATGAGGAGGCAGACACATCCTTTCAGTTAGATTGCATAGTGATTCACTTCTTCCCACCAGGCTTCACTTCCCAACATCATCCCCAGCTGAAAACCCATTGGGAACAAATCCAGTGATAAGTGTCATATACCCATGATACAGAAACCGCCCAAGATACAGCCCTATAAATATATAAAGGTTTATCTGGTTATAAACCATAACACCAAGTATTTATATACAATAAAAAGTGAAAACATATTCATATAAAAATGTTTACCTTAACACTTATAGCTGTTCTATTTAGAAACACTCCAAATTGAATCAACACCACTGTACATCATGAAGGAATAAAGAAATAATAGTAAATCTATTTTGTGGAGTTCTCCTCAATGAACAATTAAATTCTATCAATGTTAGCATGGATGGACATGTAGAGCCTTACAAACAAAGAAAGCGACAATTTTTAAAAGATTACACATTATGTGAACACTAACAGGAAACCCTGCAAAATAGAAAAGTGCAGAATAATCAAGTTGGTCAGTTGTATTCATGACCAGTATGTGAGAGAATCTGATCACAAAAGGAACAGCATGGGAAATTTTATTTGTGTAATGGAACTGTTATATAACTTTTGTACTGTGGCTATAGAAATCAAACCACTCATTAAAGGTCACACTGATGTTAAATGCAGCAAAATTTATCACATATATTAAGAAAATGCCCTCCAAAATAAATGGTGATGAAAACAAAGGACAGAATAACTGTATTAGAGGATAAATAAGGCTATAATGACGTAAGTGTATATTTCAGGTGTATTTCCTATGCAGGAAACTGAGGCATGAGATTCACACACTTTTTTTCTCATGAATGTGATACTATTTTGAACAACTGAGAACACTTTGATTATTTTTCTATTTAAAATATTGTAATTTGATTTTTATGTGTGTCATTTCATAATCAGAACAGATAACCCAAAGTACATAATAGGATATAATCCATTTATTGCTAGTTTTATAAAATATTTGAGAACCTGACCTGGCATAGGCAGTGCACATTTCCCTGTGTAACTCTGTAATAAGGATTTGATTACAATAAGGACATGCATGGATCTACATGCTTATTCATATATTTGTGTTAATCAGAGCATAAGCAACAATTTTCTTACACTGCAACATAATATTTGATAACATTTATGAGGGAATTTAAATGTTTAGAAGAACAGTGGAAAGACTGAGTAAAACAATGTGCTCTAGTATAGGAAGATCCATGCCATGACCAATGTGTCAGCCCTCACTAATCTTTAGGGGATATTATGCATCCACAACCACAATGAGAGGAGAGTTAGGGTCATCATCAAGCTGTGCCACTTCTGGCTCCTTAGGGAGTGGACAGATGTCCAGATGTCCCGAATCTTTGGACCAAAGCCTGAAGAAAGGCCTCAGGGATCCATAAAAAACACCTTGAGAAAAGGTGTGGATGTGGCTGTGGTCTGTCATGTTGTAGAAGGAGACATGTCCATTTTCGTAGTCTAAGAAAATGCAGACTGTGCAAGGGGGCTCTTTTAGATTGAGATGAGTCTTGGGTGAAGTGAGTGCCCAGTACTCATCATTATAAAACCTAATGGCCCAGAAACCAGCCTCAGGTTTTATGTAAGTCTTCTCCTTTCTCATCACGTTACTCTGACAGAGTCCCAGGTCCCAGGCTGTACTGCTGTCAACCTTCACTTCCCAGAAGTGCCTCCCTGAGCTGAAGGACTGTTGCCCCAGCACGCAGGGAAGGGATTCAAATCTCAGCTGGCTGCTAGGAAGATCTTGAAGTTTCTCCCCCATTGTTACTCGTCGTCTATCTTCAGACAAGATGAGGGCAGGATGGGCTGTCTTTGGGTCGAGAGTCACATTCGCTGCAAAGGAAAACAACCTTTTAATTTCTGAGAAGACTGGAGTGATCTTGTACTTAGGATGGCTTTGAAGCCTGACATGTCTGTGAGCAGTGAGGCCTCAAGCCTTCTGTCACCTGTCCCCTAGTTAGAGCTACCCTGAGACTGTGCAGAGCCTGAATGAGTGTAGTCACTCTTGGATGGTCAGACTCACCGGCTTGGTAGTATTTTTTCCTCCAGTCTGAAAAGAGCAAAAATACATATTATTAGAAATTACTTTCAATTTCTCACACGAAATTTTTTCTTTTAAATATTTTCTTTGGCTTGTTTTCCTGTTTGGTAATATCTCAAACTTATTCTGCACCTCTTGTTTGAAATACGTTTTCCACTGTCCATCATTAAATGTTTGTATAGAAATTAATAGCTCTGGTTTGTACCTCCTGTGGTGTAGACTACAGACGTAAAATAGGATATAGTTACTCTCTTCCTGAGAAACAACGAAATCACACATTCTGCAGCCAGCTTCCTCCGACATTTATGTGGGTGAATTATCTCACTGTGGCTGATGAACTATGCACAGCGGTCACTGTACCATTCCCACACCAGAGTAAACCAGCTGAATTTCTCCATTCTCGCTCTTACTACAGCACCATCTTACCCCAGGTAGGAATGGGCTGTAAGTAAATTGGAGAGTGTAAAAGACTAGGAATTAACAACTTGTAATATTAATGGCACCATTCTGAAGACAGTTTCCAGTAATTTTCAGAGGTATTCAGACTATAATTTGCATGAGTGCAAATACCCTATATTTGCGCCTGACAGCTGTGCTTAACTCCCTACTGAGCAGTCAGTCCATGTTTAACAAAAATCATAATTAATAATGCTGCACAATTTAGATATACAGGCTTAGAATGAAGTCCTATATTGATTGCTTCCAATTTGTACTCTTGATTGAGTTTGGGCAACAGGATTAGGAAAGCAGAGAAGGCTGTCTGCATACACAGTCATCCATGACAGGCAGCCAGGAAATCTTGTTAAAGATATATGTGTTATGTGGAAAGCAGATAATGTGGCAGTGTTACGTTGTTTAGAAACAGATTTTAGGGAATCACATTGTTGCTCACTAAATGAAGTGCTGTGTGCAAGCAGCTTGCAAGGTCTGCACGGGATAGCATCAGTACTTGGGCATGACGCCATTCACTGAGAGTGTAATGGTACACTATTGAAGATAAATTACTTGTGACATAATTATTCACTTGATAAAAAATATGAATATAGAAATCTCTATAGTTGAGTGATTTTCTGGCTGTGTAATATTTGACTCAATGAGTTACATTATGAACAAGGAGCCAAAATCAGCTCCAAATCTTTTTTTTTTTTTTTTTTTTTTTTTTGTAAATAGAATCATGCCGGAACCAGTCACAAAAATTCATTCATTTATTGCCTATGGCTCTTTTCATGCATAAGGGATAGAACTGACCAGTTGTGATGGGGACAATACAACACATAATCCTTAAAGTACTCATTATCTGCTCCTTCATAGAGAATTTCTTCCAACTCTTTATACACCAACCAAAATAAGAGACAAAGATTAAAAATACAGAAATGAATGCTGTAATTTGGTTAATGTATATAGTTACTTAAGGAATACAACAAATTGAGATGATAGGTTTCACAGCCATAACGAGAGCACTTGTAAAGTGGGATCTGAAAGAACATAAATCAGCTAGGCAAATGCATCTGTAAAGGAGCTTTGGAAGTCATTGTTGATACATGACACTAACTGGATGCCTATAAAACTTGGAGAAAGGTGACTTAGCATGCCAAGTCATTTCCACGGAAGACTAAGAGAATTAGTTTTTCAAAGATGAGCATTTTAGAGTTCAGGAATTTTGGAAAATCACACACCAAACTCAGAAGCACTAATGGAGAAAAAGTGTGATGCTTCACAGAAAATGCCACGACTCTGGGTGGTAGGTCCTGCTACAGTACCTAAGTTCCTGGTGCTGACCCTACCAGGTCACTGCAAACCATGAATTCCAGTAGTGTAGCTGCTAAAGGGTTTAAACTGTTAGAGATAGAGTCCTAAAAGTTAGATGCCCTAGGATTCTGTTAAAAGCAAAAGTGCAGGACTGGAGCCCTCCAGAAAGATTTTCAAACAATTGTGGTTGGCTCTTTGTGCCGCTACTATCATGTTATGTGCGGGGTTGGGCAAATGACTTGTAAATATTCTTGAGTTCTACAAAATAACAGCTGTATACCTTGGTGAGTTTTGATAGATCCCTGTTCCACTGGAGGCTCCAAATATACAATTTTACATATATGCTCAGTATGAAAATTAGTTCTGATCTATTTAACCATCCTTTGCATATTTGACACCAAGTATGCTCATAATGAAATGTGAAGAAATCAATATAACTGTTTGAAATTTGAAGGAATTTCTAAAACAAATACAATGTCATGAACCACTGATAAAATGTTATTTGCTCAAAGTGCTTAATCACAACCTTTTATTCCTATCATTGCTAAACCGTGAATGAGTCTTATGAAGGACACTTAAACAAGATAATGAATAATGCTGAGCGAAAACCTAGTCACACATTAAGTGAGAAACAGAATGTGAATTTAATCTCTGCAAGTGTTAAATAAGCCTAACACATCCATAGCATTAGCTGTCTCCACGGGAGGAACAAAACTGGAATCTATAGTCTGTATTAGTTAATTTACAACCAAATTGTATAAGGCATGCACAGAACATTAAAGCATGGAAAACACCCAGGAAGAGAAGCATCAGTAGTAACTGTTTGAAACGGGACTCACAAACACAAACCTCAAAGTGGAAATCATAAATAACATTAAAGAACACTGAAATAAAGAAAAGTATGGTACAACCACTGTTAAATAGGGAAAATTAACACCTATTGAATTTGTAGAGAAGGTAGTTTCAACAGAGTAAATAAAATTTTGTTTTTATTTCCTAGTATATAGTTTTATTAACTTTTAAGTGTCAGGAGAAGGAGGTGAGAAAAAAAAACAAATTATTTTAAAAAGTTATTGTACTTGGTAAGGTAATTATGGAACAGAAGTTAGGCAGTATATATTTCTCTCAATATTTTGTACTAGGCTGTCTTACATAATTATATGTGTTTGGATCAATGGTAATTATCACAGGACAAAGTCACTCACCAGGGTACAAATATGAATTCTGCCAGCCTGCAAGTATACAAAATGAGGAGACACTGTTTATATTTCTGATTCTTGTCGTATTATTTCCTCTTAATTAAATTGTTTATTATGCACAAAAGGTAAAACAAAATAATACTAGAGAAACAATAGGTAATACATTGCATATTGTTATCTTAAAAGTAATTACTCAGTGTACAAGATACAGGCATCAAATATTCTCTAATTGACCGTACCACAGAACCTACCATTTCATTGAACTGAAAGACACTATTATACAACTGAACCGAATTTTTCCTCTAACCATTGTTCCTTTCTCTTTCCACCATCCTGTTTCTTTTTTCCTTGTGAAGCATTTCTTTCCTTCTCACATTAACTGTTGTACATTACTGACCTTATTAACTATTCCTTTTCACACACTGGGAAGACAATATGATACACTTGTGAGTCTGATTTACCTCACTTACCAATATCATCTCAAGTTACATCCACTTACCTGTAAAAGTCTTGAATCGATCCTTCTTTATGGTCGAGTAGTACTACATTATATAAAAATATCACATCCTTTTTATCCATTCCTCACTTAGTGGGTGTTTGGGATGCTTCTAAATTTAGATATTAGAGACTGTGCTTCTATAAACATGGCTGCACATATATTGTTGTGGTACGATGTTTTTAATTCTTCCAGGGGAGTAGTTCTTTTTGTCTCCCAGGCTCATGCACTGACTGGCTCATGGGAAGACATGGATTCACTTCTTGCTTCTCTCCCCAGCCCGCATGGCTGCCTTTGGCTCATGGAAAGGGTGGGCTGACCTCTTGGTTCTCTTCCCAGCTTATGACTACTGCTGGCTCATGGGAAGGGTAGGCTGATTCTTGGTTCTTTTTCTGTCTTTCGTGAATGCCACTTGTCCACAGGAAAGGCAGGCTGGCTTCTTTGTTTTCTTCCCAGCTCATATGTGCTGCTGGCTTATGGGAGGGGTGTGCTGACTTTTTGGTTCACTTTCTAGTGCTGGCTCATGAGAAGTGTAGGGTAACTTCTTGGTTTTTTTCCTGGCCCACAAGTACTACTGGCTCATGGAAAAGGTACACTGACTTGTTGGTTCTCTTTTTGGTCCATGAGTGCTACTCTGAGTATGTTGGTTTTTTTTTTGTCATGAATGAGTCTTGTTCCTTATATTTTACCCTTGTCATTCTGTAAATATTCAGCTGTATTTTTATCTGTGTCCCTATTCTCACTCACAATAATTCCTTTTCTTTTTTTTTTACAATAATTCCTTTTCTCATGTTAAAAATATTTTCCTTTTATTGAACAGAGAAATACAAATATTGAAAAATACATAAGGATTTATAAAAACATAAGCTAAAACCTAGCAAATAAAGGAAATGACAAGGCAAGAAAAACCCCATACAATGCAAAGAAATATGGAGAGTTTGAGAAATGAAAATGGAAAAGAGGAAAATAGAGAAATAAATGGAAGTAAGAAGACAGGAGAAAGAAAGAAAGAAGGAGGCATCAGAAAGAGAGCAAGAGAGGGAGACATAAGCATAAAGAGACAAGAATTAGAATAAGGGGAAAATAACGGATTTTGAGACAAATATTTAAACAGAGAAAAATCAGTGGGAATAGAAGTGAAAAGAAAATTTACAAAATGTGCATAAAAGTACTTTTCTATGCACATTAAAATATTCCAAACCAGAAAAAATTGAATTCCTTTTATTTCATCCTTCATTCCCACACAGTGCATTCAGGCAATATTATCTTAGGCCTGATTTTCTGCACTTATTTTAGGAGAGGTTAAGGCATTGTATTATTTATGGCATTGGAACTGTGTGAAAACAGCTGAGCTACTTACCATTCTCAAACTGAGCTTTCCTGTCACCTGAAAGGAGATGAGCACGTAAGTTCGAGCCTCTTAATGAGATAAAGACACATAAAAGTGACATGCATTCCTCTGAGACTCATTACAGTAATTAGCAGTGTAACACTCCCCAAGTCATTGCTGCTTTCTTATATTGATTCTCATGGAAGAAAATCAAGCTGAATCATATAATAGTAAACATTTCATCAAGATAAGCAAGCAACTTATTTCTAGCATTTTAGCTATTATAGACTGGCAAGTTGGAATTTCAAATGGTATTCAGGTAATTTCTTGGTTATTTCTCTCATTGCTGAGACAAAATACCTGACACCCAAAGTCAAGCAAGGAAAGGTTTATTTATCTTACAGGTTTGTGGAGGTTTCAGCCCATCCTCAGCAGGCTCTAAGGGAGGGTGGCGTGCCTGAGAGGCAGCCATTCATGGTGGCATCAAACAACAAGAGCCAAAGTGCAAAAGAGGGAAATCAGCCTCCTTCCCTCCCTTGTATTGTATGCTGCTTCCCTGCCCCTGAGCGGGTAAGGCACTCACACCACCAATCCCAGTATTAGACACTGAACCAGTCCCAATGCTCGATTCAGCTTCCTCCATGATTGCTTGAGGCTTGTTGGGGGGGGGGGTGATCTGAACACAAATTGTAACAGATACACATAAAAATGAAAGATGAAGCGTAGCAATCGATTCCTTCAGAGATGAGAGAAATTTATAAATATTTTAATTGGAATAATACAATACCAATTTCCTTTCGCAGCTTTTCTGAAAAACAAATGTGAAAACTCTGGTTTAGCATTAAACAGTGAAAAAAAACCCTTGCTTGGTAGGATTATGTAAAATTACATGGGCTAGTTTATTAAGATTTTTAAGATCACTATATTTACTTTGAACATTTCTTGAACAAAGGCAAGGAAAGAAAAAACATAACAAGTATACATTTTTAATTTTTCAGCTGAAATTTAAGGAGGGATTGATCAAATTCTCCAATGAAGTCATTTTTTACCTTAAATTAGAACACTGATGTTTATAGTGTTGCCCTGTCATATGCCACCTGTGCAACTATAGCTACAAGTTTTCATTGTTTTCCATAAATTAGGCATTTGCTAAGCCATTTAGCCAACTACTGAGTTGAGTGCTACCTAGGTCGTGTACAGTGTTGCTCCTCCGACTGTAGAAGGGAGAGGAGAGCACTTGTGCAAGTCTGTTAGACTCTAAAGTGGAGATTGTAACCCTGCGCCATGGTCCCTCACTCACGGAGAAGCAAGCTGCGGTTTCAGCCCCCAGGCAGAGAAGGTGGCATTTTCCTACATGAAACCACCCAAGGACAGCTCTTAAATTACTCTTAGAATAAGACACTGGGCAAGGGAAGTGCAATGAGTATCAATCTCTTACCAAAAGTTCATTCATCTGGGAGCCCAAAGAGGAGTTATTTTTAATGTCCTGGACACAGCTAAAGTGTAGTGCAATATGGAACCAGAAAAGTACATGTAAAAGGTGAATTAACTGTTTGGAGGATATGAGGAGAAGGAGGAAGAAAAAAAGGAAGAATTAGAGATGGCAGAGGAGAAGGGAACAAGGTTGAATAATGGGTTTTTATTATTGGGACTCCATAAAAATTGCAGAGATATTTCTAATAAGAAGAAAGGAGGAATGCAAAAATCAAGTATATATAAATAAAGATAAGATCAATTTTGTACTTGAAATGTTATTAAAGTTTCCTATTCTTTTACTTAAACTGATCTGAGAAATAAAAAATATAGAAGAATTACAAAGAAACAAAAGTAGAATAAAATATGGTATAAAATCATTGATAGCTTGGTGTGTTGGCAGAAGCCTGTAATTTCACCATTTGGGAGACAGAGGTGGAAGGACTGCTTTAGGTTAACTTATACAGCAATGTCCATGAAAACAGTAATCACAGTAGCCTAAAACAGAAAGAATACCGAAGTCCATAAGTAAGTGGTTAATGAAAATTGTGTACACTCATCCAGTGGAGTATTACTCAGAAAGAAAAATAAAGTACTGACACTCATTACAATGTGTTGAATGTGGAAAATTCTATACAGCTGAAAGTATGCAGCCACAAAATGTCAGCCTGTAGTGTCCTAGATGTGAGGTAAGCAAAGAAGATGAATCCATAGAGAAAAAGCAGAACAGTGACTGTCAAAAGCTGAGTTGAGTGTGAGGAAGCAGAGCTGATTGCTCATGGTGCCCTGAGTGCATGGACTGCCGCTCTGGGAGCTATAAGCAGGTGAGAGTGACAAAGCCCTGAAGTGTACAGAAGTCACTAAATGTGCACTGTACAGGGGCTGTCTCAGCTCACCATGGCTTTCCTTCAGTTAAAGCAAGTAATCAGTGCAAGCGATCATGAAAAGAAATAAGACTGCGTCAACTCAGACAGTCAAGAACTGGCCTTGCTTAAGTTCCATAATTTGTAGACATGTGATGGTGAAATATCTACCTAATTAAGTCTAAAATATCTTTTATTTTCCTGAAAAAATAGTTACAGAATCAATTGGCACTTGAAAAAGCAAACAGGCAAAATTTTGAAAACAGGTTAAATAAAAGAAAAATGCAAACTGAGTAATAGAAGTTCGCTAAAGACAATGCTATATTTATCCTAAATCATGACATTGAATATATTCTTTACCTCTTTGTTATTGCTATAAATATGGCTCTATGGATAACGTCCTGTGAGAGCAGATCAAGATTAGAAACTCACTGTTTTCTGTTCTAAGTTCACTTGCAATACAAATGAAGAGTATTGCTGAAATCAGTGAAATAATTTATAAATGCAATCAAATATGAGCAAATAATGGGTATGGGCAAAAGGGAACAAACTTTAGAGAAGGACAGAAAGGTAGATTGATAGAATATTTAAAGGATTTTGTTATTAAAATAGATAAAAATCACAAATTGATACTTCTTTAAAGTAGTAATGAAAAGTAGAAAGAAAAGGAAGCAGTCATACATAACTGTAGGAAGGTTGTATTTTCTACTTAAAATGTTATTAAAACTCACCATTCTCTATTCTGAGTAGATCTGAGAAAATAAAAACATACAAAAATCACAGTGAAACATAAACAAAGTGATACTAAGGTCATTGGAATTTCTTGAATTCTCCTCTGTACAGGTTTTATGAAAATGCTTTAAAGGGCATCATGTTTACAATCTGCCATGCCGAGAAACTCAATTAGTAAGCACATGTGGATGAGTGCCATGAGATTAGAGGAAGGACACTCATCTTGTTAAATTTCACAGTTTATTATTCCCGAGTAAAACATTTAGGCAAGGGGAATCTGACATCAATTTACCATATTATTTACTTGTTTTGGCTGGACCCCTGAAGGAACAGTGACGACATCGGTATATCTGTGGGAGCAGAATGTGAACCAGACACATCCACTAATGTTTCTGTTTCATCTGTTTGTGGTAGATGAAGTTTGTTGTCATCAGCTATTATTGTCAAGTGATGATTTTATATAACAAAAGATTATATCTCTATAGCACCTGTATAACTGCCAGCTTTAATGAAAAATAGCCTTTCATCTTCCATTATGAGCATTTCTTTCAAAAGGTGAGTTGGTGATACTTTACTATTTAGACATAAGGTCCCTTCAAGAGAATTTGACATCCTCAGTGTGCAGTTGTGGCTTGATAAACATTAAGCTTCACTGTAGGATGTTAAGCTATAATGACAGACATTATTTTGAAGCACATCTAAGTAGCAGCCTGTGAAAGATTTTAAGAGCCAGTCAGTGGTTACAAAAAAGTATTATTGACCTGTGTTTGGTGTGCTATGCAGCTCCCTAAATAGTAAGGCTACACACCAGTAAAGGCCTGTGAGAAAACTCATGTCACTGGCTACCTTTGGCCCCATGATTAATATCCACAGTACAGACTAACCCTGCATCGCCTTTTACACCACATGAGTGCAGAACCTGCCATGGGTTTCTATGGGAGAATTTATTTCCTCTTCCCTGTTATGGTCCTCAAATTTTTTCTGCCTTGTACTGATACCTCATTCCTTTACGGTCTCCTCTAATTTTTCAGCTACCTATTCTGCTTATGTCCTCTGACTCTCATTATCTTTGTATTGTTTGTTTTCATCTTCAAATAAAACTATCATATCATACAAATTTAAAAATAGCAAAAATTACAATTCTGTTTGCTTGTTATTTTAATAAATATAAGGCAATGATTTCTAAATATTTCAATTCATTTTCTCATAGTTTATTTAAATATATACTAGTGGAGAGAATATAAATTGAGTACTTTTTAAATTTTATAGAGAAATCTTTTTACTAGATCAAAAGTACTTTGGGTAAAGAAACACTCTTTCATTACCATGTTGTGATGTAATGGTAGTTAAGGTCCTCGGAAAATGTCTTTATTTATGTGAAAAATTTCGGTCTAAAAAAAAATCCTTATGGTATAAATGAGTCTCTCATTCATGTTTTAGTATATTCCTACATTGGAAGTACTTAGTCAAACTGAAGCCAAAGTAAATCAGATATCTTAGTGAAAAAGCTTTGGAATTAGCATGTGCAAATTATACAGTGTGATATTTTTTCATACCCTTTGATTTTGGAGTGGATGTTTAAAAATTAAAAGAAGTTAAAAGCAGTAAAAGACAAATTGATAAATTGAATGCAATAAAAATTGGCAAAGTTTATATATGACAATGTACAGTATCAGCTTAATGAAAACAAAATAACAATTCATTTTAAAAACAAAGAGGGGGACAGAAGATGGATGTTTCTGCCAAGGGGGAAAAATGGAGACAGGCCCATGGAAAAGTGCGCGGTGTCTCTTGTGACCTTGCAGACGCAAGCTGAAGCACTAATACAATGGCTTGTAGGCACTCAGGAGGTACTGATGGACAAATACACAAAAGACTTATAAGCATGTAAACAACTTCATATTTTGTACATCATTACTGGGAAAGTTAAATAGAGCTATTTTCGTATCTCTTTTTTTCTGATTGTCTGTCTTTCATTTTGAACTATTTTTACATAGTAAGATTCTTAAATGTGAGAAATCATATGATATTTAAGCTTCTGAGTCAGTTTTACTTCGCTTACATGTTTGGTCTCAAGGTGTATCTGTTTTTCGTCAAATGACTTGAAAAGAGAGCCATTTGAACAGTACACATTTCAGCACATGTTCCAAAAGAAACACAATGACCCAGAAATTCCACTCCCTTCAAATTTGAAAGCAGGTGCCCAGACATGCACTTGTGTGGGAGGGTCCAAAAGGGTCACAAGCTATGCATACACTCCTTCAAATTTGAAAGCAGGTGCTCAGACATGCATTTGTGTGGGAGGGTCCAAAAGGATCACAAGCTGATGGAACCCTTGTGTACACGGTGAGGTTAACAGAGAAAGGCTTTCACATGGTGATGGACTGCCACTCAGACTCAGATGGACTTGTTGAATGGGACTCTACCATGACAAGATTGCAAGTATTGGTGTATGTTACAACCTATGAATTCAGAAAATTGTGTACACATGACGGAATGGTGACTCAGATGTTCACATACTGACACAGTATTGGGGCAACCAGAATAGGTAAATTCACAGAGACAGAGAGCTGAACAGAGGCTATCAGAGCAACCACAAGTTCCTTCTCATGGGCTGCAATCAGTTTTGCAAGCTGACTTTCTGGAAGGAATGTGAAAGGCTGCACAACACTGCGAATGACCAAAGAGTCACTGGACTATAAACTTCAAAGGGGCATTTTCATTCTTGAAGAAATTTATC